ATCGTTTCTCGATTCTCATAGTAACTTCCATTATCACAACATCCAGGACTGAGTTCTGAGAAGGGAACTAAGCATGAAAAATTGCTGGCCGTAGCCACGAGTTGCTACATCATTCAATTATAACCTACGACTTGATATTAAGAGGACCATTGTTAGATGAAGTGGTCAACAATGTTGCCTTATCGTCCCGGACGACTCCTCAGTATCCCAGGCGTCTCAACTCAAAAAAAACAGTTTTTGCGTCATTGAGGGAGCAGTTCCTTCACAAGTTGTCACAGTTGTGACAACAGCTGTCTTCAGTTGTTCAGTCCCAAGGCGACAAGTTGTCGCCTGATACTAGCAACAACACCAGAGGCCTCATACTGAGCGGCCGACTATATTAGCCGCGGAGTCGATCCAGGATGGTCGCATTACTCGCATTCATCAAATGTGTCCTCTCCTCGATGTATGTGCGAGTGGGATGGGTGTTAGACGATAGTAACTTGAGAAGCGGCCGAGGAGACTATCATGCTGTTGTTGATGTTTACATTATTTTCCCTCATATTCGTTAACCCCTTTAGGACACCGACGTCTCCCTACTACAAACGAAGAGCAAAACAGGTATGATACTAAAGCTATAACACAGAGAACAAGAGCAGTGCTTCTTAAGTCGTATCAGGAGCATTCAGCCTGTCAATGGCCGCACCCAAAGGCCAGGCCGCCTCCAATTGAAAGTCGCCATACTGTAGTTTGTTCGCCACGACCACGGCTTGATCGTCGCCGAGCCCAAAGCCATCAGTCAACAAGGTCAGGATATAGGTCAAATCCATGCAGGCCCAAGGGTCACCTTTGGCTCCTGCAGTACAGAGCTTCTCTGCGAGGGTCCTGAATTCCGCAACAGTGACGACAGCTTGGAAATCCCCTTTGGGGATAAGACCATGCTCCCTTGCACGGTCAAACATGTACGAGTATAGGCGGAAGGTGTACTGATTGGCCGTCACTGGACCGAGCCATTTCCCATCAAACGCACATCTGTCAGAGTCAGTGCCACACTGCTGAGCTAAATTCATGGCAGTTTTAATGGTGTCGATACACCTAGAAGCTCGCGTCGTGGAATCCTTCTCATCCGCGATTAATTTCATCGAGGCACCAGCATATTCGTAGACGGAGGGGAGGCCGGAGTCGGGCACAACACACGGGTTGGTGCCTGCGGGGTGAAGGACGATGAGCAAAACCCACAGAAAGGAAGCTCTCACCGTTGACATCAACTTCCAATATTTTCCTCCTCGCAGCTTTCAAGCCGTATCCCAACCAACTGTGGACGTAGAGGCTTCGTGTCTTATCGAGTGGCGTCAAATAGGAGCCGTACTCAGCCTTCACTGCAGGAGACAACTGACCAAGTTCATGTATCATGTGATCCCCAACTCCTCGACAGGTCCAAAGAATGGAAGTTTGTCGGTCGGCATCGGGTTCGAGTCACAGTACTAAGATACGTGCGAGGGACTTACCAGTTGTTTGTTGTTGATACCATACGCCAGTTGGACGCTACCTCCACCTAGGTCAATAACGGCACTTGGAAGGCCGGCATATCGGTAGGCAAAGTCAACCGTCATCCATTGGAACCTCGCCTCGTCGATACCATCCATAATGTACACGTCATCATCAGATCTCAAAACGAAAGGGGACTCCCTCATCATTTCTCGGGTAGCCTGAACAAGGAGTGGTACTGGACGCGCAATCTAGAGAGCGATTTTCCTGTGACCAATAAATTTTCTAACCTAAACCTCCTATCGACCTGAACCTATAGCAACTATACTTATATAATATACACGAAGATACTATCAGAGTAACTGTTGTATATTGACTGTGCGAACAGCGATATATTGTTTGAAAATGTCGCTACGGAGAAAAAATTCGCACATCTTCCGGCGAACGATTCCTCCGAACCCTCATATGAGTGAAATAGACTCACCACCATTGCCGATAACTGACCTCGAGGAGTTTCTCCGCCTTCTCAGCAGGGAGCATCCTGAGACCTGCAGTGGCGCTCACTACGACTTGTGCTCCTCTGGCGTCGGGAACAGCAGCTACCGCCTCGTCTACAAGCCATCGCAGACCCTTCCTAAAAAGAAATCAAATGCAAGTGGGGAGATTCGATCTCACGACCACCCGATCAACAGCACCGACAACTAACCAACTAAACTGTTCGCCTTCTTACTTGCAACCTTCAGGATCATCCGCGAAGTCCGACAGGCCACCATCGACCTTCTGGAAGAACGTCAGAGCATCTACTGATACCGGATCTAATTTCACATTCTCTCCAACTTTCTCGAATTTGAAAACTTGCACTCGAGAGCCAGTCGACCCCGCGTCAAAAACGACCTTGTAAGTGATAGGCCCATGCCTCGCCAGAAATGCATTCTGTTGCGGTAGCATCCTCGACATCACCACAACAAAGCCATAAATGATACCAACAGCTGTGAGCACAGCAACAATCGTCCAAACATGCTTAATAAACCAACTTTCGATCTTCCACAGTTGGGCCTTCCAAGGGCTCATCGGAGCTTCCCTCGTAGGCCTCCGCACAGTGCCGCTCTCCATCGCTTGCTCCTCTTCATTCAAGTCATCGTTCCATTTCAGAGCCATCGTTTCTAAAGATCTGTCGGGCGTGCGGCTACCGGCTGACTCTGGCGGCTGATCTAATCGGCGTTTCACTGAGGGCGCTATTGAAGGTGATAATGGGAGATCTCTCAGCTGTAGAGAGGAGCCAGTGTCCATGCAAGAGGAGAGGAAACAAGCAGTTTAAACTCACGTATGAGAAAAACTTGTCAACTTTATTATATCTACTATGAAAAAATATATAAAATTTACATATTAGGTTATTAAAAGTTAGATTGACCATTCAATATAACAATTTATATACTAGGCCTTCTCGAAGGCCTTGGCGGAGCTCGCGTCATTCGCGCATGAACCAGTGTTGGAGGAATAAATGTTCGCTTTCCTCAGCTGGGTCCAGAAGTTTCCCCACTAGTTCTAGAAGATAACATACGAATTCCGCTAGAAGTGTACAGAAACCAATGAGAATTCCCTCAATTTTCCTCCGAATTTCCGCAAACGTCACCTACACATGTAGTTGAGCAAGTGCATATTTTCCCACACCGGCATGAACTCGAACGCACGCATTGGTTATTCGGGTATCGGGCTGTCGGTTCTTGTCAAGAACAGTTCTTCCATTTCTGGTGTGAAGATGCTGGCAAATTCACATAAAATAAGTCACTAAAAATTACAATGACTTATTCAATATGAAAATTTATATATTTTTTCAATTTTATTTTTCAATTCACTTATTAAACGAATTTATATATTTCCCTCCATAATTCGAAGTCTACACGTATCACATAAGCCGCATTTCCAAACCCCAGTGAGATACAACATAGATTCCCCTCACTGCTCAACTCAACCTACTCCCTCTGCTGAACATCAATAACATGTGCTTAACAACACCAAGTGATAACACCGAGCTTTCACACCGTATACGGCCCTCGGCGAGCTTCCCGCACTAAATACGTTTCCGGTGTCCAGCTCGTGGTCAACGCTGAGAGGTTACTCGGCCTGAACAGACCAAAGCTGGCAAACTCCCTTTTCATCGAGTCACTCACCGTCCTCCAAAAGTGCATCTAAATCTATTCAACGACCTTCTTGGTTTCACCGATAAGTCGTATGTCCCCGGACCGGGAAAGGGCACGGCCAGCACTCCACCACCACTGAAATTTATAATTATAGTCCCACATATGCACTGTCGCATTACGAATCAATTCTTTCAACTACTTCATTTTCTATCAGTTCCATCACGTCGTTCACTATAAACCCAGTCTACTTAGGATGTTTCCTACAACTACACCTACTGCACATCTAATTTACACTATAATTCTTCCTTTTGTAGGCGGAGCGAAGTTATTTATTACTTTCCAACATCAGTTATCGAGCCCTTCTCATTTCGAGGCATCACAGACCACTTAGGAGATCTCGAGTAAACTGGATGACCCTTCTTTCCTGACCAAACAACAGTGTTAAAGCTCTCAATATGTCTACTGTCCCTACGAAATATCGAATTGAAATCCAAAGGCTCTTCCCGAGTGGCGTCTTTTCCGCACCCTTCAACGTGGCGGTAACCTCCAAAACTGGTAAACCTGCCAAGCAACGTTCACATATTCAACCACATGGTTGGTGACAATATGGAAATTCCGAGAAATTTTTCTTGAAATTCGTGTTGTTTCCTGAATACTTAACCGAGGCAATTCATATATGAACTCCTAAAATTAGATTTGGAAACTCCTGAGCTCAGCTGAGGAAAACAGCGACATATATTCATACTCCAAAACTGTCACTACCTCTTAGAAACTCCACCGAAGTGCTTCGCGCGATTTCCCAATACTATTTTGCCAGTCCTCGACAAATTAGCTAATTTCAAAGAGGCTGGATCTGGTCCCGAGGCCACTCGTTGTGACATAGTTGTTTGCACCCATGTTGGTACCTAAAAATAACTGATGATACTTTTTAATATTCTTGAAATATGCACATGGCCAACTGCGTGTGTATAAGGGAATTCTGAGGAAATTTCGGGAAATTCTATTTAATTTCTGTACACTTCTACCCAAATTCTGAAAAAAATGCTCGGCAGAATTTTCCAAAAATTTCCAATACAAGTCGTCAAACAAGTGCATATTTTCCACGTTGCGCACAGCAAAGTGGTTATTATTACATCTCTGGGAAGATGCTCAGGACGGCCGAAAAGACTCCAATAAGGGGGTCGATTCTTGACGCTCTCCACTGCTTTCGTTGATTGAATATCGTATTGCCCAGGACCTAAGCCAGTGTGAAATTTATGAGGAAACTCCTCACCTGGTGACACGACGGGTTTGGAAGAAATAATTTTTGCGGGGACCAAAGGCTCCGCTGTAGGACTTGAAATTATTTTCAGCGAACCTGATATCAACAGTGGAGTTTCAACTGTTTTACGTGAAGTGAAATACGCGATATTCGCGGTGATATGCAGTAGTAGGAAAATATGTCTTCTACTACTGTTTTTCATATCACTAAGGTGAAACTCCAGCATTCGAATATATGTTTGCTTGCCTCATCTGAGCTCCAGCCCTCCTCCCCGATTATAGAAATAGACTCACCCTGACCGGCTTGTCTGCTCCCGGCATCCGCTTACACACAAGATGTGACCGTCTCCGGGAGCTGCATGTGTCATAAGTTTTCACCGGCTTCCCCGAAACTCGCGAAACAAAAGGGCCTCGTGATACGCCTATTTTTATAGGTTAATGTCATGATAATAATGGTTTCTTAAACTTCAGGTGGCACTTTTCGGGGAAATGTGCGCGGAACCCCTATTTGTTTATTTTTCTAAATACATTCAAATATGTATCCGCTCATGAGACAATAACCCTGATAAATGCTTCAATAATATTGAAAAAGGAAGAGTATGAGTATTCAACATTTCCGTGTCGCCCTTATTCCCTTTTTTGCGGCATTTTGCCTTCCTGTTTTTGCTCACCCAGAAACGCTGGTGAAAGTAAAAGATGCTGAAGATCAGTTGGGTGCACGAGTGGGTTACATCGAACTGGATCTCAACAGCGGTAAGATCCTTGAGAGTTTTCGCCCCGAAAAACGTTTTCCAATGATGAGCACTTTTAAAGTTCTGCTATG